GGGGGGCGACTTGGTTTGGGGGGGGGGGGGCGCCCCCGTCCACCCCCCCCCCCCCCCCTTGGATCCGCCACTGGCTGAATTACGAAGGCCCTGATCGCACAAAACCTTCCCGGAGGTCACCACCATTCATTCTACCGAGGAAATACTTGAGCCTGTATTTGGAGAGGTTCGCTGTCGCAGAAACGACACCGGCGACTCCACATCTTACACGGGATGCTTCTCGAAACGCGGGCTAAATCCTCCTGTAAAAAGTACGCGCAGAAAAAAAAAAGTTGATGTCCAAATGATTTCTGCCGAAACGCATTTTTATATAAAATTTAATAACGTACGATATTATTAGCTTCCTAACTTGATTATTAACTTTTTAGTCGGTAAACTTAAAGGTATGGTTTCAATCGGGGTTGGGAGGTGACGCGATACAAATGTATCGCGATAGTATTACAGAAATGCATTATGTATTTATATTTTTCAACTGCATCGTGTATTCCTGTATCGAAATACATTTTCGGGTGAATTCCTGGTATTGCGACACTATTGCCACGCGAGTCGCTGAGCAAGCGCGCACCTGGCCGAATAATTACCGTGCTTGGCTGTCGCGCGGAGGATCTGGGTTTGATTCCAGCGAGTGCAATGTTCTTCTATTTATTCTTTCTACTTGGTGTTCTAGCAAATTTGAGAACTTTCTTCTCTGATCGAGTTACGAATGTTCTACGCGCCGAATGTTCTAAGCTGAATGTCCCAGGAACTCACGGTGGTACAAAAGCTGCTTCGCGTGGCAAGCCGGAGTCAGTTTCGCCCCAGCGCTCGATGCTGCTGTTTCGCCGACATCGACGCCTGCGACGCTAACCTACTTCTCTCTTGTTTCGGGCACAAGTTCGCCCCATTAAACGTTCAGTTTATTCAGTTCTTCGCCGCCTCATCATATGTCATTCGTGACAATATTATATCCAAATAATTACAATTTGACGTATTGCAATATCATAGAAGCAGAACACGTTGGTGATACAAACGTCACGTTGAGAGCCACACCTTTCGTGGTGACCGGCGCGTAGACGGAGACGCTACAAGCCGGCTGTTGAAACAGGCACCGCGAAGCATGTTACAGGGTGACACCTCTCGATCGCTCCGGCCCATGGGCATTTTGGGGTCGGTTGTACGATAATGTTAGGAGTTTTCTCTTCAAAACTACAGTGCACCTCTGTGCTGTCAGCTTGTCTTTTCCTGATCACCCCGTAGCATTTTTACTATTTCTAATAATAATGAAATTGTGAAGAATGGGTATGTGCACGCCCCCTTTATGGCAACCTCGTTAGCGTCAATTCGGCCCTATTTCTCGGTTTATAACTTCAAAGTCACACAAATATTGCCTTATGTTTTTGCAGACTCTGTTAGTACATATTATAAATGTTAATTTCGGAGAGTTTAAAAAATTTTAAAGGTGGCGTTTTTTAAAAAATGATTTTCAAAATAATGCATATTTAGTTAAATGCCCCTGTGTGAGGAAATCTTGTAAATTTCTGCCGCTAACCAGGACAACAATATTCATGCAAAGATGAACTATATAAATGGCAACACTGTCACACTAGTAAAGTTTGAAGACCATGACCTTTGTAGATACGGAGAAAAAAAAACGTTTAATCGAGAGCGTTAATAATAATTGGGGTTGAGTGGGTATTTATACAGCGTGTAGTTGGTCAGCCATTTCAAAGTTCCGACGAGTCACTCGCTGTAGATGAGCAATTTAGCGAGTGCAATACAACCGCTAGCCGGGGGTTATGAACATGCATCATGCAGTAGTGATACACGCCGGTACGACGCTCATCAAGATCGAAACGGGCAGGGGAGCCCAGGATCCTGGGTTCTGCAGCGCGAGTTTTCGCTCCACGTGCTCCGAGCTGGTGTGCACTAGCCCACTCGGCCACCGATCCCCCTCCAGAGCGTTATTGCGCAATCTGTCGTATTTGCGATTTTCTTTCTCAAAATAACGACCCGAATAATCGGTGATCAATACTTTTTGTCAATCCTTCCTATGCCTAATTTGTCAGTAAATATTTCTAGGCCCGTAGCCAAAACACTTTTTTTCCGGGGAAGCCGCCAGAAATGCCAACATCGAGCGATACGCGGAACGAGCACGTGACTGAGAGGGTGCTTCCAAATTGTTTTTCGCAAAAACATTTTTTTAAACAGGGATTTGTTTTACTTTTCTGGGCATGGAGCCAGAAAAATATTATTTTCATCAAAATTAAAAAAAAAAATGGTGACCGGACATGGTTGTTCGAACAATATCTGAAAACGCCATATAGCCGGGGTTCTACCATGTGCGGAGGTTGGGCCCAGATAAGAAACGACAAAATAAAAAAAGTACTCACAACATTTTTCGTCGGAGCAACGTGGCGACGACGCAGAGGGCAGACGTTATTCTACTTTCCTTTTTTTTTTCCATCGCGCGGAAAAGCGCATTAATTTTACTTTGTTTAAACCTTTTTGTGCGTGGCTCCCTCAACCCGCCTTCACCTTTTCCGGTCTCATCGAACACACTCTCCTATTCAGCCAAGCAACAGAGTCACCTCGCAGAAAGGAAGTGACTGTTTCGACGTCCAACATCAAAATAGTTCAAAAATTATTTCAACGTCCGTGACGTCAGTTCCGTAAAATGTCGAAATAGTAGTTGCAGTAGATAGTTTTTCTCCTCCGCTACGGTATCCGTAAAGAAAACGCCGCAGCTGCGCATGCGCGCCGCCAGCCTTGTCTGCATTGTTCAAGGTCTTGTGGCGGATTACAGAGCGCTACACAGGTGTAAGCGGGCTGCGGGAAACGGTCCACTAAAACTCCCTATTGTTTTTATTATTTCGACGTCCTCCTTCAATGCAGAAGCCGCAGCAGTAGTAGCCGTTTTTCGGTTTCATTTTTTTTTTTTTTTTTTTTTAAGTGTCGGATGGTGTCGTTGGTGTTATGTTGGCGTTTTGACGGATAGTTTCGGTCCTAGTTGGCATTAGAAACGTCTTACTCGGCGTGTGTGTGGGACTGGTTCGGTAGTTTATCCTTGCGGACGTGACACGCCCGGTGGCGACATTCTGACCGTTCTGAGCTCGCATCTCGGCGCGCGACTCTTGACTTTTTTAATAGACCCTTTCCGAAATTAAGTGCCATCTCCGTGACTCTTTTGGCATGGCCCAGTCGCGGCGTTTTGACGAGAAGGCAGGTTTTTGTCCGGTTTATTTCAAAACAACACAGGAATGCCCGTCCCGCATGGTGACTTCCGCCCACAGCCCCAAACCGGAAGTGCGCACGACGCGACACCACCGCGCCGTGACGTAACAGAGCTGAGTTCGTGTATACGCAGTCGGGACTCGGGAGGTTCCCTTTCTCCAACTTTCGCAAGCACCACAGGGTGAAATTCGACTTTCATTTCAGGACACTACCGCTAGGCATGGAGACAGAACGATAGAAGGCTGAAACCCGTTGAGCGCCTATTTAGCAAGGGATGTGTTTAGCATCAAAAGGGGAAAGCTGAGTGATATTTGAAAATCAGTTGCTGATGCGTTACAACGTGAACTAAGTAATTTATTATTTAGGTCCATCTTGTATCGAAGCAGCAAACGCTTTGATTCAATACAGTCGTGCGACGGTAATAATATATTTCTCAAAAAGTGAAATTGCAGATTTCCGAGAGTTCGAAATATAGTTCGTAGTCCATGTATGTTGTCATCAATGACTTGATAGTTAAATAAAAAAAATCCCCAAAAAGAAACTAAGATACTATGACGAAGTAACTGTAACGCGTTACTTTTATCTTCAGGTAACTGTAACTGTACCCTAAATACATTTTTGACAAAGTAACTTAATTGTAACTAATTACTTCTTAAAAGTAACTTAATAAAAACTCTCTAAAATACAAGATATTAATTCTGCAGTAAATTTGACTCGAGCCAAAAAACGTCAAAGGTCAGGCTCCACCTTGTACAGGGTACTCGTTTGCTAGTTTAAAACGAAAATTTCGTATTCAAGATCATGCTTCTTTTTTGTTCTTCATATTCACTAAGGGGTGAATATGAAGCATCTACGAAAGCATCTACAATAAGGTTATATATATATATATATATATATATATATATATATATATATATATATATATATATATATATATATATATATATCAGTCGCTATACTTTCGCACCAACGAAATGTATTCCTGTATTTGTATTTCCAAATACTTTTCCATTCTTCAAATATGTTCCTGATACGTATCGCCATACGTTTTTATAAATGTATTTTAGTATAAGTATTCTTGCTCTTTTTGGCATGCATCGCAGCATCGGTATTTCCCAATACTTTTGAGAGTATTTCTGCCCAACCCTGGTTTCTATGAGAAACTGGGACTGGACAAGGCGCACTGGTCAAAACGGAAATTCTAAGCCCCCTTGCTCTGGGCGCCGTGGTCCAGCGAGCGCAGCGCAATGGAAAGTGTCGAAGAAAACAAACAAACGTGGAAGTCATACAAAGAAGGCATAAGACGAAGAAACAAGGCACCAGGATTTCCTAAGTTTATTACAAAAGTGCCGATCAGGTCGCGGTACAGCGTAAACACCATCCCGAGAAAAGACGGACATTTCCCAACACTCATGCACAGGCAGAGTGGGTACACAATGGAATCTTACGAAAGGTTCGACCAGAGTTGTCAAAGGCGGTAGAAAAGAACATAAAAAAAAAAAATATAGACAAAGAAGGGAATGTCAGGGCAGTGACTCGAGCACTCGATTACGCGACTGCAAAGGAGGGCAAGCAGCGCTAATAGACGGAAAGTGTTGGCTGGCAAAGCTGCCGCTTCCCCGCTCAATACAAAACCATCGGCGCGCGCGTCTTTAAAGGGAAGAGCGACGCGGTATTTGCGCTGGGCATGGAAACAGTCGAACGTCGCCCAAACGTGCTCAAAAGACAGCATGCGGTTGAACTATCCGCCGTAACCCGCTAATACATCTGTTCCTTGGACGTTTTCAGACCCCACCTTCGGGACCTTCGTCCAAACCCCGCAAACGACATCGAGTAGTCTGAATTCGCCCGACGAGGGCGCCCGTTCCCCCTTCTGCATCGAAATCTGGTCACGTGGTGGATGAAGCACGGAGCTGTTCAACCCGGAGACAACGTTTCGCGGCAATGCAATCGAATCGAGGCCGCGTGCGGTTGCGGACCTCAGGTGCCGTCTAAAGGTCGATTCACACATTCGCGTCGGGTCGGACCGAGAGAGCAAGATTTTTGTACCGTCGGTTGACCCGACTCGGATCGTGACGTTCACGACCAACGGAACACGCTTTAGATTTTCTCTTCGCGTAATGACACTCGGAGAAAAAGAAAATATAGAAAAACAACTAATCGCCAACATTGCGATTCGCGCGCGACTGTGCGTCATCGAGTTTTACGACTCAACAAAAAAGTTTGCTTTTATCCTCAAATTAAGACGCGACAACGAAGCTTCCGCGGGTAAGTGGCGCGCGCGATCCGAGTTGCATTACATAGCGCGATATGTCCAGTGTCAAACATTCCAACCAATATCGCGGTGGTCCCTTTTGCCGCTATCATCGCTCTGGCAGTTGCGACAACTCATGGACACGACAACCCAAACATTATATTATACGGTTAAAGACTTCGAAACGGCGGAACATAGTGCACAAAAAATGCACCGATACCCACAAAACACGGGCTGGCCGTTCGATATAATCAAGTTCGTACAACAAAACTGTTCGGAGGCTCTACTTTTCAAAGACAGCGATGCTCTAATCGTGAGACACGTAAAAAAAAAAAACGCCGGACGCTATGCGTAAAAGATTTTGTAATTAAAAGGCCATACATTTGAATGCCGCAAGTAGAACGTTCTTCCAAATCCGACATAACGCGGAACAAACAATAAAAACACAATAAAAAACGGTCGAACGAAGCGACAGTTTGATATGCCACTGGCAATTTCAATAGCGTGTTTTTGAAACAACTTTCGAGACATCCGAATCGCCGAATCGCTCGAGAAGGCTGGCGGGCGAACCTGCGACAACAGCTTGCATGTTCTAACTGCTAACTAGGTGCCGTCGATTTCGCTAAAGTCTCTATTAATTTAGAGACCAGTTTCCAAATACGAATCTAGAGCGGTCAGGGAGCGAGCCATATTTGTTCGAAACACGTTCCCTTCTATGGCAATGAAGAGATCCCATGGAGTCGCACTCTGCACATCTTCTGGATTTCCGCAGGAAGATGTCTATATGTAAAAAAAGCAAAACCCTGCCATCTCTAAAAACAAAACCTACAAAAAAAAAACATCAACAGCAAGGAGGCGTGTTCAGTTGGCGAAAACTTGGCCCGAGGGCAGCCAGACGCTTTTGGTGGCGGTCCCGTGGGCGGCGAAGAGCCTTCCCGAGCAGTGGTCGTCCACTTCCCAGTCGCGGCTAGCGTCGCGCAGCCAGGTGGCCTTGCCGCTGTGCGCGGCCGCCCGTTCGACGAAGGCCGCCGCCAAGTCCGACTCCCCGTGGTACCAGACGGCCGCCAGGTCGTGGTGCTCGGCCAGCGTGCGCACCAGGGGCGCCTCGAGTCCCGACAGCACGTTCACCACGCCTGCCGGAACGTCCGACACAGAGAACACCTGCGCCAGACGGATTTTTACGCACAGCGTGTTTTTAGAGGATCGTTTTCTACTAGAAAATCGCCACCAACGAGCGCCACGGACGAGAGATCCGTTGGGAGCGTAAAACGCCGTTCACACTCTTGGGACCGAGTACGACCGAGAGAGACCAGACCGGCTTTTAAGCCTTTTGCGACTTCTTAGGACCGGATGCGCTGCAGCGGAGCTGGTCCTAAGAGATCGCAAGAGGCTTAAAAACCGGTCTGGTCTCTCTCGGTCTTACTCGGCCGCAAGAGTGTGAATGGGCCTCTACAGACACAGAAAAAAATGAAACGCTTGCAATCCCCTGTAATGCCAAATTAGAGCGCAGCTGTTGAGAAGGAGGAGGGGAGAGTACGAAGAGGAGCGTATGGCCCTGCTCTTCCTCCTCCAATTCCATGTAATGGCGAATTAGAGCGCAGCTCTTGAGGGGGAGGAGGGGAGGGTACGGAGAGGAGGATATGCCCCTGCTCTTCCTCCTCCTTTCCCTCCTCCCTTTAACATTAAAAAATAACACGAAAATTGCACGTTTTTTGTCGGGTAGAGGTGGAGCAGTACCTCACACATGTGGAGAGCCGACAGCGGAGAGCTCTCACTGGCCAGGGCCACGACCGTGTTGCCCGTCGCGAGGGCTGCCGCCACCAAGGTGACGAAGGACAGCAGCGGGGCCGAGTCGGAGCACACCACTCCGATAACACCCAGGGGCTCCTTGATGCTCATCACGCCGCCCGAGGACGTCGCACTCTGCAAAAAAAAAGGAGACGGGGGCCTCTACAAAGAGCACCGGGCACGCTGCGACACAAGTCTTTCACTTGGGCCACCTGAGGACCATGAAGTTCTCAAAGCGCGGTCCGGGAACCTCCAGGAATCTGCGGCGACACTGCACTGAATCCGAAATCGCTCCACCGTGGAGAGGCGAGTCCCACGATTCCTTTTTCTATTACTGAAATATTGAGAAACCCTAGAAATCGCAGACAACGCCAGCGCCGGTACGGGATTTGAATCCACCAGCTGGGGATACGTATCTCATGACCTCCTGTACTCCCTGACCGGCACATTCAAGTGGCTCCCATATGAGAGACTGCTAGGACGTTCGCCGATCTCTGCTGTTAGGGCGCCAGCAACATATCATGAGCAGCGACGCCGGATTCAAAGAATATAAATGCTGTACTTAAAAAAAAAAAGTTTACTATTTTTTTTTTGTAATGCCGAATTAAAGCGCAGCTCTTGAGGAGGAGAAGGGGAGGGTACGGGGAGGAGGGCATGCCCGTTTTCCGCACCCTCTCCTCCTCCCCTCCTCCTGATCTCCCCGTCCCCGTCCCCCTCCTCTAATTCTCCTCCCTCTCCACCTCCTTCCATCCTACTCCCTCCTCTTCTCATTCTCCTCCCCCTCGTTCTTCCCCTTCCTGGCTCCCCCTCGTGAAGTGAAGGTCACGTGAAGGTCGTGGCCTTCACGAGGGGAAGCCAGGGAGGGGGACGAGGGCGAGGAGGAGGGGGAGGAGTAGGAGAACGTAACCTTTACTGTGAAGGTCGTAACCTTCGTCGTGACCTTCACGCGTGACGTCAAAAAGGAAATATCCTACGATGCAACGCGCGGGATCCGTGTGACGTCATTATGGGAAACGTTCCCTAATGCAACGCGCGGGCCACAAGTGAGACCCACGCGTTGCATTATGGGACGTCTCCCATAATGCAACGCGCGGTGACGGTGACGGCGCTCAAGCCGGAAACGGGCGCCTAAGAGCTGCGCTCTAAAAAAAGGAACAGCAGGTCCGTCAGGAGGTTTAGGTAACCATCGAAAGAGACGACTGGTTTCTCCACTCCAGAGGTTCGAGTTTGGTCGACGCGAGATCTAATTTGCCTCTTCCGGAGCCAGCAAGATAGCGTTCATAGACGGTTTGTCCGATAACGTGAGCGAAGAACGCGGTTCGCCTGTTACTAAACGTCATTTGCGGACAAAAAAAAATCGCAGTACGTCGTCTGCTAACATACCGGGAAAAAGCTGATCATCCGCTACGGACGACGCGGCGAAGTGAGACGGGATGTACGCTGAAATTCGGATCTTTTGCTATTTCACGTTGGAAGCAATTGACATTTCGCGCCTCGTTTGCGAATCTCAGGTTGTTCTGCTGCCGCACACTAACTGACGTCGACGGATGTATGAGGGAGTACTAGGATAACCACATTAGAGGCCGCGAGCTCACTCTCGCTACCTGCGTGTTGGTAAGACGTCGCCAAAAGGATTGCCCGATTGTGAACTCGTGAACGGGTGAAAAACGTCTTATTGGTTGAGAACGCGCGAGCTGTGGCGTCACGTCCAATCGGCAGCCGAAAACGCTAACGCTCTCCCCTCAACCGAAATCGGACCCCAGACGAGGCATATGACCGGGGCCGTACGACTGTTCACCCGGGGCTCGTGACAGGCATCAGCCAGTAGCGACGCGACCAAACACCAATTCTCAGCCAGATCGAAACGGGCAGATGAGCGAAAGGTTCCAACCCGGGGTCTGTACCGCGGGCTTTGACTCGCTCCGAGCTGCGGCGCGGCCACAGAATCCTCGGCCACCTGTCGCCGATTATAGACCTTTGTCCGGAAGTGCTCTTTTTAGCCTCGACCGCAAGGAGCAAAAGCGAACAATAATCTCGAACCCAGACGCTCACGGGGAGGGGGGGCTGCGTCGGCCTGCGCCGCCGGCTCCCGTTGAGGGCTTCTTCGCTGGTGTGCCGACTGCCGTTTCGCCGGCATCGGTCCTGTTTACCGCGGTATGTGAGTACAGTGCCCGTAATGTGAGAGCCGTGTGTCCATACGCCACTTTGCCGTTGTTGGTTTTCGTCTAGCCGAGCCAGAAAACATCTCGCGACGAGTTGACCGCGCCGCGAGTGACGAAGAAGAAGCAAACATGGCGACGGTTTGTGCGATTGCTTTGGTGGCTCCGGTGTTGAGTGTCTTCAACGTCCTCGTGAGAAGGTTCCCCTGCCCTTCGAAGTTATTGCAAGCACCACGAAAGATGTGGAATCATCGTCTCAACTACAAATAAGCAGGCCTTCACGAGCAACAACCGTGCCGAGCAGGCGCTCGGCACATTTGTGTCAGGCTCACGCAGCCAGCGGCACAGTTGTGTTGGTTGTGTCGTCAGATGTTCAACAACGCCGAGGTATTTTCATTTATCATTTGTAATTGGTTCAAGAATGGGAAATTAATCTATTTCGCGGATTGTTAACGCCGAGGCGAGTGCCCTCCGTTGCAGTGCCGTCGTCGCGCAAAGTGCAGAGAACACCGGGTGGCGATGGCGGCGGTGCTCTTTGATCTTGCGCCGTCGGGTTCATGAAGTCCGGAGTAAACGTACGTACGTGCGTCTGCTGGATCGGTGTTTTGGACTTCCTCAAAACTCTTTCTCACGCGCATTTTCCTTGTGAAGCTTTGTAGCTCATTACACCTCATCGTCGACTGCGCTCATTTGACTACGACGGACGAGCCTGCGTGATGTGAATTTCACTGCCTAAGATCCTTGGTGTGCTGTAACGAGGGCTAATAAAATATCACCGCGAACTTCTGAACAAACGAGTCGAAGTTTCGTCTGCTATCATAACTGATCGCCTGTCATAATATTAATCAGTAGCGTTCCTAGACTCCGCCCCCACAGGCACCGTGCTTCGTTGCCCGATAGTAAGTGTCTCCTGGTACCTCGTATAATTCCAGCTCCCACTTCAAGTAAGTACCATCCTTTAGAACTGGCAATTAATAGTTTCGAACCCAGACGCTCGCAGTGTGTGTTTGTGTGTGTGTGTGTGTGTGTGTGTGTGGGAAGGGGGGGGGGGGGGAGGGACGGGGACGCGTGTTAACATACTCGGAGCCCTCGTTTACGCCGCTTCGCAGCGGCAGACAAGGCGCCACATTACAAAAGAAAGCTAATCCGAGCTGTCTATGTAACTAGACCCATTCGCTAGTCATTCGATGAAACGTCGTCGTCTCGTTTTCATTCGCTAAAACTGCGTTCGATCAAGTGAACGCCTCGCACTTATTTCGGCTTGGCAGAGCCGCGCTGCCGCAGAAAGGCAAGCAGATCGCGAAAATCGGTCTCAAACGTGCCACGAATGTAATGTCGTATACAAGAAGCCAACAATCAAGCATTTGAAAGCTACAAGAAAGCAGTAGCGAAATATTTACTACGCAATGAACCCGGACTGAAACGCGGATGTCAAGGGCCAGCAGACACCGAGAACATCTAAGACAAGAAAGGTTTTCCCTTATTTTCCTTGATCGAGATGGGTTCTCGAATGTTCACGACATCTTGCCTGTTGAAGAACGGGCCGCAGAGGCTTCTGGTGAAGACATCTTTCACGATGTGTCGGTGCATTCGGACAGCCTGCCGCATCCAGCTACCCAAAGCAACGCCGCCAACGCAGCCCCCCCCTCCCTGCCTGCCAGTTCTTTCCGCGTGGTGGCGCGAGCGTAGATAAACATGGCGGCGCCCCGGAATTGGCGCGGACACTGGTCTATACGCTTACTCGGACGACGAGAAGGAGCGCCAAGTCCAATGGCGGTTCGGAAAAAAAAGCCTGAATCAAGAGGCCGGTCTCAACAGCCGGTTTGGCTACGCCATCGCTGCCGCAATGCATTGAGGGAACATCAGTCATTACACGAGCGACAACATCGTTGAAGCTCTGCGTATGCAGAGCATGAGAAGGCACGTGCCATCTCGAGCACTGTCGCCTGGCTCCTATGATCTAAAGTTACTGCGGCTTCACGCGCGCGCTGAAGGCTTGGTGAGATCGGTCTATTTGTGCCGCATCGCTACTGGTTCTTGGGCGCAAGGACCCTCGCAGCGAACAGGGTACGAATGTTGTATTCGATTCGAACCCTCGCGAACATGGTCCTGCGACAATTCTACAGGGCGTATTCACAGGACGCCATGCTCAGAACGAGCTTACATTATTAGGCTGCTTAGACCAGTAATCTTGATGACGTAGAATGGACGTTTCAAAAGAACTGTGGAAGCTCACCGTCAGCATGCGCTCAGCAGCCGAGCACACAGCTATGGGTGCCAGTGAATACTAACTATAGTCAAAGCAATTACACGGCGTACAACTTCGTCTGCTCCTCGCGGACCCAGTGATGGAACTTGATGGATGAATGACACTTGATCATTCGTAGCAGGTTCAGGCAAAAATATTGGTTTGGAGCAGCCACTCATGCTTTCGTAGCAAGTGCGAACATCCGTTAGCGGATCACTTGATAATGAAAAAGTGACTGCACCTCTGAATGAGTTCATTTGTGATAGTGATTGAGGGTTCCTCTTTGATACTCGAGCATATTACTTATTACCGTTTTTGATAAGAATAGAGAGGGCAAAAAGAAACAGAGTCCTCTTAAATAAGGCTCCAGTTAGAGTAGGTTTCATACACAGTGGGTATTAAAAAGTGGTTTAAAAGTGAATCATAGCGCAACACTTCACTGGGATAAATCCTCTCTCCCCTCCCCATTTTACACTCGGTAGTTTGTTTAGCTTGCAAATATAATTTCTGTAAAATGCCATCAAGAACCAGCATATTGTCAGGATGAAGGTGACCAGATGATGAATAGAGAACTGAAAGTAAAGATTTAATCGGCGAACTTCTGCCAAAAAGAAAAGAAATAAAGATCGAGCGTCGAGACAGCAGAAAAGCGGGCGGCGATTTCGCGGCGTAACAGCAAGCGAGTGAGACTGACCCGGAAAGGTCCCGCGCAGCTCCTTATCTAGTGT